TCATTCAAAATTATTTTTCTGACAGAAAACTTGCAATCCAAACAAACTTTCATTATATTGACAAGAAATTGACGCTAGGAACTCCTCAAGGATCAGCACTATCACCTATACTATGGAACATCTTAATCAATACTGTTTTCGAAATAGACCTACAGGAAAATTCAACATTATTAGCATACGCAGACGATTTATTATTACTTATAAAACGAAGAGATTTCGATGAATTACAGACAATAGCAAACATAACATTATCAAGGCTGAGACGATGGACTAGACGCAACAAACTTAAATTTAATCTAGACAAGACAAAATATATAATCTTCACAAAAAAGAGAATTGTACCAGAATTGGATATTCGACTCAATACAGTAAGAATAACGCAATGTGATACATTATCATATTTGGGGCTTCTCTTTGACAGAAAACTGAATTGGAACAGACATATAGATAATCTATATGACAACACTTTAAGGATTATAAATGGACTATCAGTGGCTGCAAGAGCGACATGGGGACTCAGATCGGAAGTGTTAAAGGAAATTTATGAAGCTGCTGTACTTCCTAAGATGCTCTACGCTGTGCATGTCTGGCATCCGGCCGTTGAACGTAAGAAAAATTTGGTGAAGTTGGAAAGGCTTCAGAGGTTAATTGCGATTAAGATATGTAAGGGCTATCGTACACTATCATTCGAGGCCACAATATTATTGGCAGGGCTGTTGCCAATCCAAATGAAGATTGAAGAACGAACGACCTTGTATAACATTAGAAAAGGAAAGAGAGGATACAAAGACCTGACCCTAGACAAAATAGAAAGAATTACTGACTGTAAATCTTGGTTACACCCTGCAACAAGTTTATGGACTGGACCGGGAATTACTTCTGAAAATACTGATGTTTTCACTGATGGTAGTAAGGACGGCGAGAATGTTGGATGTGCATGGTTGTTCAGAGCTCAAGATGGTAGGAATATAGAACATCAATATAAATTAGAATCATATTGCTCAAATAATCAGGCAGAAAAATTCGCTGTTTTAAAGGTTACTGAATACATATATGAATACCCTCTACAAACGAATACTCACGTTACTATAAATACAGACAACAAAGTTCTGCTAGACTCTGTTAATAATTGGGACATTCATGATTACTTGACTGACCAAATTAGAAACAAATTGTTAATGATGAGAACTGTAGGGAAAGTAGTGACTCTAAAATGGGTACAAGCACATTGTGGTATTGAGGGCAATGAACGAGCCGATTGCCTTGCAAAAGAAGCAGCTAAAAGCGATTTGCCGCCATCGTATCATCAAGCTCCTTTATCGTATATTAATATGAATTTAAAGTTGGATTTCATCAAAAGATGGGATCACATATGGGTGACCTCAGCTAAGTCACCAAGCTTACACAGATTTATACCACACATTTCAATTCACAATTACAGACACATTCACAGTAATGACTACAAACTTACGCAAGTACTTACGGAACATGGGAATACAAAACAATATCTTAAAAGATTCAACATTATACAAACAGACTTATGTGATGAAGACGGACAGGTTCAAAATTTTAAACATATAATATATGAATGTAAACGATTTGACAGACAGCGATTTGAGTTAATAAAAAGCATAATTATCAAAAGAGGAAATTGGCCTGAGACGGAACAAAAGTTAGTTACTGAATTCAAGACAGACTTTCTTAGATTTATTAGATCGATCGACTTCGACTTACTAACCAGGGATGGGCAGCGTGGATGATTTCTTTTTGGCTTTGTTGGATTGACTTTGTGTGTTTAATATTTAATTTTCCGATTTAATTTTTGTGTGTTTATTCTTTGTGTTTTTTTTTGTTAATGTATATAAATTTGAACTAAAAATGTAAATCATGTGAAACTAGAAAAAAAAAACAATTGTAAACAAATGTAATTCATGTAGTATGTCTTTAAGGCATGGAGCATGAAGGAAAATCAAATAAACGATCCTTGTGTGGGGTTACCACGTAGGGAAAAAAAAAAAATATATATATATATATGCTAAAATTTGCTTAATACAGAACCACGTTTTTTGTTTAATAACATATGTAAATTTATCAAATCATGTCAAAAATTGGTAACAAAATTCCAAACAATGGTGAGAATATGCTCAAAATAAAACAATACTAATAGTACAGTCATTAGATAGTTTTACCTGAAAAGTTTTCCAGGAGTTTTGGAAATAAGTAGTTTTAATTATTTCAATGTGCTATTTTCAAATTTCAATTTTTTCATCTCGTATCTTTGACCCTAGCACTGCCATATTAGAAAAATGGTGCCTAAAAACAATTTGTTGACAATATTTCTTTTCTGGCTCATTTCACAATAAAAACATTAATTAAAAATGAAATTATAGAACATTTCCTATAATTTATGTAATAATGTTTTTTTTTATAAAATCAATAGTGTTGGTGTATAAGTGCTGCAAAGCGTAGTTTAACAAGTGCTTGGGACAGTACATTCATGTTTGTTTGTGGAAACATTGGTTTTTTTTAAACAAATCATTGCAAGGAACACAACAATATGCAATTTATAGAGATGGAAGGGAGGAGGGAGGATGCACTGTCGTAATAATAAACTGTAAGGTGTCTGGCCCACAGACCAAATGAACTCACAAAACTTGGTCCATCAAGAACAGCGAAGGAAGGACAATGCACTAAATTTTGGAATAGTGAATTGCATGTGAATTAGGACTACGATACCATGAAAAAAAAAATGTAACTTACTCTACGTAAAAGGTGGTGTGGAAATGAGATTTTATTATTGAACTACAATTTATTTATGGAGCTCATAAGCCCAAACTATTGATTTTACAAAAAAGTTGTTAGATAAATTATAGGAAATGTTCTTTAGTTTCATTTTAATATAAATGTTTTTATTGTGAAATGAATCAGAATGGAAAAATTGTCAAAAAACTATTTTGATCACTTTTTCAATATGGCGGCACAAGTGTCAAAGTTGAAATTCGAAAAGAGAAATCGAAATCTATAAAACTACCCATTTTTAACACTTTACAGGTTACCTCTTTTTTTAGAACCAAATGACCGTATTATAAAAATCTTTTGCTTCTAATGATAGCCACTGGAATTCTTCAGAATATTTTAAAATTGATCAATAGATTGAATACATAAACAAAGTGGTGGTCAAAATTTCCAGCGCACTTTGAATTTCACATAAAAATCACAGATTAAAAAAATATTTTTGAGCCTGAAGTAATAACAGGTATGTAACAGGTCAAAGAGAAATACCATGCATTAATCCTTTTGAGAAAAATCCATAATTCTCTCTAGGATTAACAATAAAAGTATCAACATTTAATAAGTAAGGATTAATGTGGACTTCAAATCAGTTTGTCTCTATTTGCCTGTTCACTTACATTAGAACAATATTTCATTTGTAGGGAAACATTTTTAAAAGTGTAAAATGGTTTTGGATCCCATGGCAGTCACTAGACTATGTTAATTGAGAATGGCCGAAGTCAGAGATATGTGGCCTGAAACAACAGTTCGGATGGCAATCCAGGAACCAAGAGACAGAAAGCAATGCTTTAAGGTGGTTATCAGGCCACCCAAAAGCGACAGGTGCAACTGATAACTGCTTCATTGCTATGAAGACCTCAGAAAACGCAACCAGACTTTAGTTGAGACTTTCCATTGATTTTCTATTGCTCAGGGTGCGGATGTAGATAAGCGCACAGTAAGGAGAAAGCTTGCTGATGACCTATTGACCTAAACAATAGGGTTCCTACTTGCAACAATCTACTCAGCACAGCATACCAGAAGATCGCCTTCACTTTTATTGTGAGCACACTGCTTGGACAGAAGATGATTTCACCCCTGTTCTGTTTATGACAAGTCCAGGAATAGCCTTTATGGTGCAAATAGACAAGTTTCAGAGTGGAGAAGAACAATTAAGCAATAGCTCAATGCGAGATCATTTGAGATGGAATATGTTTTGAGTCAAGTACAGACCCCCAATTGTTTCTAAAGCTGACGCTCGATGCACACGTATATCATCGACATCCTCGAGGAATATGTGGTACCTGTTTCCTTTTTATGCAGAATAATGCTCGGCCACACATTAGAAATTTTGTACAGGACTACCTAGACAGGACTACGTTAGTGTCCGCACCTTAGAGTGCAAAGCATGCAGCACCAACTTGAGACGTCCATCTATCTACAACAGAACCCTCCATGTGACCTCCAAATGCATAAATCGGATCAAATTCAAGATCAGGTAGCCAACCTTATTCACAGTATGCCTACGAGAATGCAGGTCGTTATTTATGATTACGCCACCAAGGGAGGCAACACTAGTCATTAGAGACTCTGATTTCATAATTAAAAAAGAATGAGATGTGTTTTATTTTTGTTTAAAAGATTGCTAATTTACCTCATTTTACATTACAGATTTTTTAAGATAAATTTTTATTTTTGTTTTCCCTTATTTGTGGTCAACTTGAAACAGAATATGTCGCACTATATTAAATTTTTACAAAAACTTGCAATTTTTTTTTGTAGGGAAAAAAATAACGACAAAATTTAAGGTTTTTATGATGACCTTCAGTGTAGTTGACAGAGTATATCCAGATACACTAATGGAACAAGAGTAAACAAGCCGTGGCCTTAAAAGTAATTAAGTAAACACAATTTGATCACGGGCACAAACTCAAACACCCTTGGTCATAATAGACAATATAGTAAATTCTATTAGTTGAGATGTCAATTTATTCATTGTATATCAAATAATTTTGAAAAAAAATATTCATTTTTTTATACTTGATACATTAATAAGATGCTGAAATCTAAACCATAATCCATAACCAAAATTCTGTTAACAAAATAATGACTATTTATTATATTTTATTAACTGGAAAATCTAAACAAATAACTCGTACTTTGTTCAATATTTTGATATTGAACAAATAATAACAGGTCCAGTGAATTATAAACATATTTCTACTCACTGTTTACATAGTTGCTCTCTACAGCTTTGAATTCAGCCTGCAGCGTACTCATTTCTGTGACCATAGCTCTTGTAACAGATTGAAGAAGTCTACGTTCAAGAGGAGATACTGCTCGTCTACCTTCTGCCTCCATCTTACCGGCAATTTTGCATAAACCATTGCTCATCTGAAAGAAAATCAAATTGACTAGTCCTAAAACCATTGTATGCTATACACATCTAATTGACACAAATTCTGAATTAATATTTTGTTCAATTAAACTTATTAGTTTTATACTTTTTCAAAATTCGAAAGATCACAATCACAAAAAATTTAATTTAATATAACATTATAAATATTATTAAACTATCTTATCATACTTTTCATATCTATTCAGATGTTTAAAATGAATTTACGATTATGTGAAATGTATTTAACTGCAAGCTCAAAGGCCAACGGAGGAAAGAAAAAGAACATAATTTTAAATTAGAAATATAAAATATTTAATAAACCTAAATTTATCTTACCATTTTTATAATTTCATGAATGATAAGCTAATAAATGTCAGTAATCTTGGAAATCAAGAAAGTTGAACAATACTATTATTTTATGAAATTTCCAAATAAGGTCAAATGAATTAGTTTCAGTTCAATAGCCCATTCAAATTAGACATGTTACTTTGCAAAATGCAGGGTAATTCAAATTTCTTTTTTATATTGTTAGATATGTAGTGAATATAAAAAATTCAAGTTTCTACCCTTGAAAGCCTTCTGGGTTCGCTGCAATGCTTCAAAAATAAAAATAAATTGCATATAGTTGTGTTCCTTGTAACTATTTATTAAAAAAAACCAATGTTCCCACAAAAAGAAGTGGCCGCACTGTCCCGAAATTGTGTCCAATCATCGCAGATTGATGTCTTTGACTTGAGTGAGTTTTTCAGTCAACCAATTTCATTAAAATAAGTGGACTAAAGACAAATTATAAGGTGTATTTTTTTAATTTCGAAACCAATTTATTTTTAGTGATTTGTATTTATTATTATTATCATGGCACAACAATCTGTAGCCGGGTCCTGGCTTCCACCAGCAATTTCCACCAATCGTCACGGTTTCGTGCAGCCGCCATCAAGTTAGCTACTAGCACTCCAAGGATGTGCAGCTGCAACTTCACCTACCCATCTATGCTTCGGTCTTCCTCGTCTTCTCGTTACATAGAGAGGCTCTATCAAAAGTTTCCTAGACAACTTCTCTTCGCTCATGCGCGCCACAAGCCCCGCCCACTGTAACCAGCCCAGTTTAATTATCTGAACAACATATGACTCTCTAAATAGACTATAAACCTCCTGCTTAGTGCATCTCCTCCAGATTCCATCCACCAACACTCCTCCAAATATCGTCCAAAGGATTTTCCGCTCGAACACAAGGAGAATCTGTTCATTACATTTGGTCATAGTCCACGTTTCTGAGCCATATATAAGCACTGGGCGGATTATGGTTTTATAGATATGTAATTTAGTTTGAAGGGAGAGAACGTGACCGCCAAGCTGTTTTCTCAGGTTGTAGTAGCACTAATTAACAGAGATTAACTTCCTTCTAATCTCCATTTCTGCGTTGTTGTCCTGTGTTACCATACCAATATTCAATAAGAGGCATGCAAGGGAGTCACCCTGCCGTAGGCCCTTCGTCGCTCGGAATTCCTTAGTTAGATCTCCACCAACTCCAGCGATTTGTATTTAAGTTGTTAAATTTAGAAAAATATGTTTCCTATAAAAGCTTGCTGTGTGCTTTAATAATTAATTTAAAACTTTCACCTAAGTACCCTATAAAAATAGAGAATAAGTTAAAAACCAAAAATTATACATTATATATTTTTTGCTAATTTCAAAACTTTACCCATTTTGAAATCTCAATAGTTCGCTTCCTGTTAGGTTTAGAAAAAAATATTAGATAATTTTTAAATTTATAATTCTCATTATAATTTAAATTTAAATTATAATACCATCAATAATTCTCAAACATTTGAGAATAGAATCCAAGAAAAATATATAAATAATATTAATAGAATAAGGTCTCTTTGTCCCACACATTTTAATTTTCTTTGAACACAGGCCCAGGAGAGGGGAATGTTACTTGGTCTCCATGGTAAGTAGTGAAATTTTAGGAAATTGTTTTTTTTTTTAATTTTTTTATGTTTTATTATCCTCTAACTATCCAGCTTTAATGCCTCATGCCTATGTTTTTCGAATTTTGAATTGAGTGGATAACTTGATTTATTTTTTCTTAATATTTTTATAACATAATATTGTTAATACACTATTTGCAGGAATCAATGTTCTGTAGGGCATCTCTTATTTTTATCACCTCTCATAGATAGTTACTCATCTCTGAAACCAATTTTTTAGTGACTTTAAGCTCAATTTTCTCTCCTTCATATATTAATGCTTCCTTAAGTTGTGATTTGTTTTTAATCTTCCTTTTATTCAGTCATCCTATAGATGTTCGATTGGGTTCAGGCCCGTGAATAGAGTGGATTTTTTAATTGTCTTGGTGCATTATGGAGTAGCCACTCTTCGACTTTCCGTGCTTGATGATTCGGATCATTATCCTGTTAAAATATAAACAAGGGCCCAATACCAAGATTCATTGCACTTGATTTTAAATTTTCTTTTAATACATCTATGTACACATATTGGCCCATTATACCGTCAATAATTATAATTTTTACCATACCAGATGCACTCATACAGCACCAAACCATGATTCCACCTCCTCCGTGTTTGACTCTGGGACACAAGTTTTTAGCTGCTAACTCTTGATTGGGTTTTCGCCACACCCAAACTTTTCCATCAGATGAAAGTTAAATTTATATTCATCGCTGAATAATACTCGTTCCCAGAAATTATTGGGCTTATTCAGATGATAAACAATCGACGAACAAGGAAGAAGGCTGGAAAAGGGCCGATCAGGTAGCAGCAGCTGGAGAAGGACGCTGGAGAAAAAGAAAGGTACTTGAGGCATGAGCATGAAGGCAGGACGACGTGTGGCAGAAGAGAAGCCTGAACACTGAAGATTAAGAATATCAAGCCTATAGTTATAACACATAAATAGATTCAATTTATTACAGTAGTGGAAATAAATTATTTTGTTATACAGGAGTGAAAAGTCATTTTATTTAGTTGTCCTATATGCCTCACAAGTGAAGAATAACAAACCAGGTTAGTCAATTCATTCAAAGTATGTTTATTAAGTCCTACATTTCAGATATATATATATTCTTATTATTTCTTTTCACTCAGTGTCACAAAAGTATCAGGTTCCCGAATTCCCAACAACAGTTGAACAACCTCAAAAAGTCTATATCCAGTGCCGGGTGTTTGTTTTAAGAAAATTAAATTCACGAGTGTAAATAACCTAGTCCCCCGACAAAGCGGAAGGAATATTCACTATTGCCACCAAACGAGCCACATTTACCATTTTAACCGTTAACAGTTTATTCACAATTAACCTCGAACAGGTTACCTACAAAATATTTTCATTTTCGAGCACTCATTGGACGAAGAAACATTAAAATTCCTTTTGGAAATAAGTTTACCCAGACTTTTTTTACTAACTATATATATAAATATATAGTGAGTGTATATATATATATATATATATATATATATATATATATATATATATATATATATATAATTTAATTTCCTTTTTTGTTTGTCATACTGTTTTAATAATTTATATATCTTAATTTATAAAAAAAGAAAATCAACCATTTAAATATTCATACTTAAACCTGATTTACTGAGAACAAACAGAAAAATTTGTTTAGATAAAAAAAATAAACAATGCAATAAGAATATCATACATTGAACGTACACGCATGATGTCTTCTGTTAATGATTTGATCTCCTGCTCATCTCTGTCATTGTCATCAAAAGCAGGCCGAGATATAAGATTAGCATAAAGATCTTTCAGGGTTGCAAGCTTTGATTTCAGCCTCATCTATATTTAAAAAAAAAACCTAATTACATTAAAACACTAAATAAAAAGTAACATCCTTATTAGCTAAAAAAAAAAAAATAAATAAAAATACAAAAGTTTGATAACACTAAAAATAAAAATTATACTAAGATTGTTCTGTGAATCAGTTCAATAATTTTGTTTCCTATTTCATTGTTTCAATTTGTCTTTTTCGTCTAAATTGTTAAGGTGTATACATCTTAGACTTTTTTTCAGATGCATGTTGATATAAGATTTTGATTTCTATAAACATGATCTAATTCCTCTAAAAATATTATCCTAATGTTTATTAATGAGTTATTATTAATAAGAAGAACACTGATGATTCTATTGAACATTATAATGAAGAAGAAATAAGAGATGGGACAAAGCAGCTAAAAACAAATAAGGCCCCAGGAATTGAAAATATTCTAGCAGAGATGTTTAAGAACAGTGGGCATGAAATGATAAAGTTTCTGCAAGACATCCGATACACAAGAAACGTGACGTATTAATATGCAGTAACTATAGGGATATATTTCTCCTCCTATGAGGGTTTAAAATCCTATCTCTTATTCTATTTAAAGGACTTATTCCATATATGGATCGTGAATTAGGAAAATATCAATGGGGATTTCGCAAGGTAAAGTCGACTGAAGTTGACCAGATTTTCACACTGCGAGTTCTAATGGAGAAAACAAGAGAGTTTCAGATCCAAACTCATCATCTGTTCATAGATTTTAAAAAACTCTAAGGAGATTTGGAAAACCATCAAGAGGTTTTAGAACAGAGTCGGGGGTTAGACAGTGGGATAGCCTTGCCAGTCTTGTATTCAACTTTTCATTAGAAAAAGTAATTAGAGAGTCGAAGATCCAGACAGAAGGAACTCTATTAAAGAAACTATTAAACCCGAGATTTGGAATTTGCTGATGAATTGGACCTTGCAGAGAGATCCCTCAATGCAGTAAAGGAAGCTTTTGAGGCACTGAAAAAATCAGCGGTAAGCTGGGACCTAGGGATAAACTTTTATAAAACCAAATACATGACTACCCAACCACCAGATGAAGGTACAGAAAGATACGTTATAGTAGGTCCACACCGAATCGAAAGGATACATTCATTTATCTACTTAGGATCCCAAGTCAATTACAAAAGTAATGTGTAAGAAGAAATAGAGAGACGTATTCTTTCTGCAAATAGTACATACTTTGAACTCCGAAAACATATAAGGAGCAGCATATTGTCCAAAGTCTCTAAAATACAAATTTATGAGATGTTTATTAGGCCGGTACTTACATATGGCTCAGAATATTGGACGATGACTAAGGCCCATGAACAAGCCCTTTTGAAATTCAAAAGGAAAGTGCTCCACAGAATATATGAAGGTGTGTGACCAGAGCTCCAAGAGAAGATGAACAAATGCCAAGGTTAGCACAATTTATAAGTACGTAAATGTCATTAGCTTCATAAAACTTCTTTTTGTATATATTATTATTTAGAGGTATGGAATCTGATAAGAACTTTTTTTATGACAAATCAGATGAAGAGACTCCTTTCTCCGAAATCAGTGAAACGGATTCTCAATATTTAACAAGGCGAACTCTCTAAAAGAGCCACAGAAACTCTGCCCCCCGGTTTGGTGGGCAACTCAACTAATAAAAAACAAAACAAATCCTCTAAAACAAAGCAATCACTCAAAGTAAATAAACAATCAAAAACTAGCAATAGTAATAATTCAGCTATGAAACCTGACACTAAACCATCTACTAACACATCCAGCAACAATTCTGTTTCAGCCAATTATAAAAGTAACGAAATCACTGAACCTAGGACTTTCACTGAACCAGGGCCACCTCCGATATATGTAAGGAAGATTGACAACTTCATTCAGTTCAGCCAAGAAATAGCTAATCTGATCGGACCAATCAACTTCTGGTGTTTTTCTCGCGTCAAAGACATAAAGATTAACACCAATACTAAAGATGATTAATAAAAACTTATTAATTACTTGACAGCACTCAATCATGACTTCCACTGCTATCAACTAAAAGAAGACAAAACATATAGGGTGGTTTTGAGAGGTCTTCACTCTACTACACCCACTACCACTATAAAAAAAGATCTGGAAAATATTGGCCATACTTTAAGACATATATCTTCTGTTTTACATCCAAGTGACAAATACCCACTGTCATTATTTTTCATCAATTTAAAACCAGCCCGGAACAATTACGAAATCTGTGATGTTAAAACACTTATTGTATTCTATTGTAAAATTTGAAGAGCCGAGGCAGAAACCTATAGTCGTGCAAAGGCTTACTGCCATTACTAGAAGCGTTGCGTCAAATGCGCTGGGCCTCACGCCTCTGACACCTGCCAGAAACCGTTAAATGAACCACCAAAATGTGCCCTTTGTGGTGAGGACCAACCTGCAAGCTATCGGGTTGTATTATCTATAAGAAGCTACATAAGAAAATAACTTATACCATATCATTAAAAAAAGAAGAACAGAAGAATCCTACCCAGGTACAGGCATCTGAACTTCTAAATTGGCAGCGTTTCCTGAATTTCCGTTCAAAATAATACCAAAATTGACACAGAACCCTTCTACATCAACATATCATCCCCATCAAGACTCCAGGCAACTATATTCAGACACCACGGTGAAGAATTAGCAGCCACGATGTCAGACGCCTCAGACTTCCAAACCTAAGATTCAGACCTCCTAATCCAAGACTCACATTTCCCGTATCCATTCAAAATCTCCACATCAGCAAATGCCTCTTCATCAGATAACTATACGTGTGAAATTAATGCCTTAACATCCAACTCCTGTTTATTCCCATCCTACTGCTCATATTTACTCTCCTTCCCCAGTTCCATTTAATTACGATTCAGTCCCCCGTACATCACGAAGAGTACATCCTTCATCAGACACTCCTTATCATAAGAGCTTTTCCTCACGAACCCCTAATCAAAACCAACCTGACCAACAAAACCCAATCGACTTAATAAACTCCACCCTTGTGTCCTTCCTGAAAGATCTCCAAGAGACTATCAAGCCTCTAATCACCCCTCCTCAAAAGAATCCTTACCGAAATTGTCTTCAATCTCTCACTATGAGCACAAAGCCCCTAGCTGTTCTTTTATGGAATGCTAACGGTCTACACAACCACTGAGACGAACTTGACATTTTTTTTCATGACTACCACATTGATATTGCTCTACTGACAGAAACTCACTTCACTCAATGTTCATATTTCTACATATGTGACTACATCACTTATAGATCAGACCACTCCGACAACACTTCCCATGCCGGTTCTTGTATTCTTATCCATAAATCCTTATCCCATTCTATCATTCCTTCTACTCCAACTGAGGCTATTCAAGCAACATCAGTAATCATTTCAACTCGTCCTTTCCATTTAACACTCTCAGTTGTATACTGTCCTCCTGGTCATACTCTTACCTACAACTTACTTGAATCCTTATTTCAATCCTTCAGATCGCGCTTTATTGCTGGAGGAGACTAGAATGCTAAACACCAATGATGGGGTTGTCGAGCATCTAACTCCCGTGGTAACATAATATCTTCTGTCTCAACTTCCAATAGTTTCTCTGTCCTCTCTCCTATGAATCCTACCTATTGGCCAACATCCCTCAAAAAACGCCCTGATATCCTGGACATATTTGTCACCTCCCAGATTTCCTCTTCCCATGTCACAATCAAATCCCTGGATGACCTCTCCTCAGATCATTCTCCAGTTCTGCATTCATTACACACAACCTTCACTCCTAGCCCTCGTCCTCTCCTACACTGATTACGGGACGAGTAAACTGTGACAAATTTCGTAAAGACCTGGAAAATAAATTGGACCTAAATATTCTACTTAAGACGAAACATGACACTGACACAGCCATAGAAGTACTTACTACATCTATAAGTGACAAAATAAACGATAATACATCTACCGATAAAATTAACAACTCCCAATAGACAAATTTGCCGCAGCATATTCGTATCTTATTAAGAGTAAACCGCAGAGCAAGATCGAAGTGGCACAGGACTAGATACATATCAGATTAGACATATTACAACAAATTAACTAACCAACTAAAAGCTGAAATTAGAAAATACAAAGTTCAAAATTTATTTAAAATGACAGAAAATCTTACTACTACTGACAAATCACTATAGTTGAGCACTAAAAAGCTCCTTAAATTCAAAGAATTTAACCACCCACTTATTACTGAAAACCAAAGCTGGTCCATATCTGACGAAAAAAATCTAAAATATTTGCTCAGCACCTCTTCAAAAAATTTAATCCCCACTCAGATATCCTTAATCCAACCCACCTTGAGTTTATTGAAGCAGAATTAGATATCCCACTCCAATTTACTCCTCCACCTAAAACATTTCATCCTTCAGAAATATCCAATGTCATTCATAGATTACCTTCCCACAAAACTCCTGGCCATGACCTAATCACATCCCAGATCCTAAAAGTGCTTCCTAAAAAAGCCATACTATTCCTCACCTATATATATATAATGCTGTAATCCGAACCACATATTTTCCTGACTCTTGGAAACTATCCATTGTCAAAATGGTACCTAAATCCATCAAGCCGCCAGAACACCCATCCTCTTACCGTCCTATCTCTCTTTTACCCATTATTGGCAAAATCCTGAAAAAACTCATCTTAAAACGCCTGTATCCCATCCTAGACTCTAAACACATTATCCCAGATCACCGATTTGGGTTCCGTACATCCCACTCCACTATTCAGCAATGCCATCGTGTGGTAGATGTAGTCTCCTCTGCATTGGAGCGTGGAATGTACTGCACGGGAGTCTTTCTCGACGTTGAACAGGCGTTTGATAGAGTTTGGCATCCGGGACTGATGTACAAACTCCGTAAATTTCTACCACCTACATACTTCCTCATTATCCGCTCCTACCTTACTGACAGATACTTCAAAGTCAATCGTAACAATGCTTATTCATCTCTTTTTACTCAGTTTGCCGGTGTTCCTCAAGGCAGTATCCTAGGTCCTATCCTTTACATAGTTCAATACACCTATGCCAATGACACGTGTATCCTATCAATTAATAACGATCCATCTATTGCATCCCAAACTCTTCAATCACACATCACAAGTCTTGAAAAATGGTGTCAAAACTGGAGGTACAGTATCCTTCAACAATAGCCTACTTATCCCTGTTGAACAAATCCGATACCAAGGACTCCACCTGGACAAACGACTTATCCCCATACCAGACTGAAACCGCCCGACGTTTTCGACTACTGCAGCACTTACTAGACAAACACTCTAAACTTCCAACTATTTACAAAAGACTCATATATATTACTATAATAAGGCCTATTTGGACTTACAGGATCGAGCTTGGGGGCTCTACTAAACCATCAAATTCCTCTCTTATCCAATCCCTACAATCCAAAATCCGTCGTAAAATCTTCAATGCTCTCTACTTTGTCACAAATAAAATCATCCATAACGACCTTAATGTACCATATGTTTCCGATTTAGCTCAATCCAGATACCTATCCTTCCACAATAATCTTCTGAACCATCCATACCCTCTTGTTTCCAACTTTGCTTCCTCTTTTATTCCTGATAACCTTCTGAGGCGTCTGAAAAGAAGATGGCCTCGGGATCTTCTAATATAGAAATATAATTGGAGTGCTACCAATGGGTAATTTCTCTTCATGTTGTACATATCATGTTACTTATTTCATATTTACTAGTTGTATTTATCATTTAATACAATTGTAAATTTCAATAATAAAAAAAAACAATTTATTACCATATTATATGTTTGCATCACTTTCCATTTTTTTACAATTGTGCATAATACCAAACAATACTAATGATTGTGGAGGAAAATAAATCTTTTGAAAAATAGTGAGGGGTTATGAATATTTTATTAAACGGCATGAAAAAAAAAAATACTCCCATAAAATTAGATCCAAAATTTATATTTTTTAATTTCAAAACAATCACGTATTTAGGAGTTTAAGTGGATGCTAAATATGAATTTGAATAATTTTTTTCATTACAAAAATTTACTTGGTCTACTTTACTCAAAGTGCCTATGGGTTTTCGTAATTTATTAAACAGTACAATTCATTTAATACAATTTTTTTTAAATAATTAACCATTTCACAATTAACTTTTTTATTAATTTGATGAATAACAATACAATCTGCCACAATCATGGGCATTGGGTATTGAGGCTCTAGGTGTACATTCACACAACTATATACAAATTCAGAAAAATGAAATAAGAAGAAAATATGCAAGTAAAAAATATATACAATAAAAGAATAACAAAAATATAAAATAATTGTAAAGAAAAAAATACATTAAAAGGATAATAAAAAGGGAAAAACATCTACTATCATAAACATTTTTGCGCTATGTCCAGAAAGGTGCCAGTTCAACATAGTAAGATTTTTAAAAAATTTAGTAGAAACATTAACACTTTGACACTTATAAACACTTATAAACATTAACAGTTTGACACTTATAAATATGCATCAATGCCTATGACAGACATTAGGGAGAAAAAGACAATTTCAAAAACACCTTAAAAGGAAAATATTTTAAAAATATCTGTCAAAGGCATTGATCCACATTCATAAGTGAATAACATAATGTTTCTTACTAAAATTTAGGTTTAAAATAAAGAAACCTACAGATTAAATTATTTTCATGAAAATGTAAATATTAGGGCTAGAAACAATAAGTTTGTCACTTATAAATATGCATCAATGCCTATAACGGAAATCTGGGAGAAAAACACAATTTCAAAAACAACTTATAGGGAAAATATTTTTAAAATTGTTATTTTTAATTTTTAAAATAAAATGTGTTTTTAGGAAATTATCTTTATTAAAATAAATTCCATAACACGGAAAAACAACAAATAAAAGCTTTGCAACAGTTAATTGTAGTCATTTCTGCTGAAAACATGGGTACTTTTAGGTGACTGGATAGAAAAGCATATCATTTTATTACACAACTTCGAGTTGTATCTCAAAATTTTTCCTAATGAACCTCAACTTAATTAATATGGACTTAAAGCTTATTAAACGAGGATCCTAAAAGTGGGGTAACTGTAGTACAGTTGAATTAAGATAAAAAAAAATCATAAATAATTTATTACTTATTCTAAACGTAACTTAAATGTGTTTGTCCGCTCAATAATCTTTAAATAACTTCAACAATGACAAACTCTACATTTATTTAAAGTAAATTTTGTCTTGTTTACCATGGAGCAATGCTTGATTACTTAAATTAAATATTTTAAGTTATCGCTTCCAGTTCAACAAATACATGACTCGCTTAAAAAAATACATATTTTAAATTTTCTACTTTTTTTGCTGTAAATTGCACAATTGTTTATATAAACTTTTTTGTAGGTCTTGAGGTCTAATATCACTCCTATAAAAATTTCCCTCTACATACGGGACACCCTGTATATGGCATATTTAATAAATTAAGTCTTACTAGGTTTTTTAACTGCATATTATAATAATTGAAATTCTTTATTGAAAACATTTATAGATATCTTTAAATTGCTTAAGTAGTTATTTTTTCCACAAAATAATTCAAAGCACTTCTACATAGATATAATTAAGTTTAATATAATAATAAATTTAAAAATGATACCAAGGTAAATTGAGACTCTTCCACCATCGATGACCAACTTGGAGGTACTCTACCAAGCTCAATGTCATCTTCCATTGGCACAAGAGCAGACCTATCACTCAAACCCTAAAATTAAATATTTAATTAAAAAACTTATTAAAAAAACATAAAAACTGAAAATAACTTTTAAAATCATAATAAATGTTCATAAAATATAATTATTATACCAACAAAATTATGAGGTATACAAAATTTATATATATTTTTAATGGATAATATAAATAATGAATAATTTAACACCATTTATAATTGGAAAATTTCAACTACACAACCTTGTGCCTCCAAAATGCAGGTAAAGAATAAAATAACCCATAGGAGTATTTGGGCCTAATTGTAAAAGAACAGTTATCAGAGGATCATATCATACATTCTTTCAAAATCAAGTACTTCCAATAGAAATGTCAACTCTTGAAAATTTAAATCAGAGCTTTAAAGGAAAAATATCATATGTAATATAAGATGGCCAGACTGCATTTTCTTTGACTCCTACTGGAGCATAGGGCATCCAAGAGTTCCTTTAATTTGTCTCTATTGGCAGCAATCCTCCTTGCCTCATTCCAAGATTTGCCAAACCACCCTAATTCCCTTTCTGTAGGCCTGCGCCATGTTTCTCTTGGTATGCGTTTCCTTTTGCTTACTTAAAGGTTCCATTCTAGGGGGGCTGTTTTTTCTATGGCCTTATCTTTTTTCATCAGGGTGTGCCCAACCCACTTCCATTCTCACTTTTTTATCTCTTGATGGATTTCCATAGTACCTCATTGGATATGTATTCTGGCCACCAAATTCCAAATATTTTACATAGGCATTGGTCAACGAAGGTCTGTAGCGGATATTTTTCTGTGTTTTCATACTGGGTATAGCTGAACAAAAATCCCATTGGCCTTCTTTATGCATCTTTTTGAATCTTCTGCTGAGCCACCTTTCTTTGTGACTATGCTTCCGACAAAGGAGTCAACCTGTTTCACGATCTCGCCCATCAGGAGAAGGGCTCCCAGGATCGCTTATTCGTCCTCATCTCTTTTGTCTTGCCTAGGTTGATTCGCTGTCTAACTCTGCTTGGGATTCAGCTATGGGCATCTAACTAGCACCGCTAGTCAATGAACCTCTGCACTAGGAGACAGAGATCATCCCTAAAGTCAAGATCTCAAGTCCCTCTCTCAGTCTCCACTAAATACCACGTCTTCTACCTTCATGTGTTCCTCTCAAAATACAATTGAGAACAATGGTAAATAAAGTTGGTAAAAGTACTCATCCCTGATTCACTCTGGCTACTACCTTGATTGGATTCGAGATCACTCCTTCATGGACTATTCAGCACTCAAACCCATCATATTGGTTCCTTATAAGATTAATAATCTTGCTGGGGGGCCTGTAGAATTCTAGGATCTTCCATATAACATTCTGGTTGATTGAGTCGAATGCCTTCTCAAAATCTATAAATGAAAGGTACAGAGGACTCTGCCATTCAATGCTTTGCTCCAGGATTATCTGCAGGATATTGATGAGATCGATGCAGCTACAATGCTCCCTAAAGCTGGCTTGTTCCTTCCTCAAATGTTGTTCAATTAAATGTTTGATTCCCTTCAGGATCACCCGGTTTAGCAGTTGAGAATTTGGTTCTTCTCTTTCCATGCATTCTCGGTTTCTTCATCCTCTGAAAAGTGTTCTTCCCAGTGTCACAGCTGCTCTGCTTGGGTAGTTAAAGGAATGCTCTTTAGGAGTATCCCTTACGGAAGCCTTTCTTTGGTAGGATGTTTGTGATGTCGTAGAGCTCTTTCGCATCTCCGACGAGTTGCTTCTTAACCTGTACCATGTCAGTGACCCACTGTGTCTAGACTTTCTTAGTTTTCTTCTTTACCAAACGGTTGGATTTGCTATACTCTTGCTGGGCTTAGGTTTTCTGTTGGTGGATAATACTCTGTTTGGTCCATTGTTTACTGTGTTTTATACGCTCTATTTCTTGCTAGCTATCCTCCATCATCCATTCCTTTCTCTGTAGGTTCGCATAGCCAAGACAAGTCTCTCCAACCTCCATTTTCTCTTGTGACCCGGCTAATATTGTAGGCTTCCGGATAAAGACTGGGGGCATGAAGGAATAGGAAGCAATGAGAAAGGGCTCAGGAACAATGCTGTTTTTCCTTGAACCATATTGACGCACATTAATTAGCCTAAGGAAAGAAATTGTATTCTAGGAAATAAATAAGAATAAAATGTTCTAGATCTAAAACTCCACAAAAGAAAAAGCTAAACTTTACTTAAACCTGAAAAAAAATTAATTAAGAACGATAAAAGGTCTCTTCACTGGCCAATGTTTGCTAAAATATCATCTCAAGAAGATGAAATTAGAGGATGATTATACATATATGAGGACTATAACCTAATTCTCTTCAAATATCAATCTTTCCTTCAACTTCTAACCTTTCTATTTATACATAAATTGGGGTATTATCATAAAAATTAAGACTATATGCCCATTATACTAGTTAATGAGTTTTATAAGTGATATTAATATAAAAAAGGCAAAACATTGAAAAGGCTGTGTGGTTGGAATTTTTCAATCAAAACCGAACATCAATTTTTATGTTTCTTGGTGGTTGTTACTCGTTTATATTAATATCATTTATAAGCATTTTGGACAGTTTCAGAATTCTACCCATACTGTGATTAATGTGGTCTTAGCCCATCCATCATGTTGCAGTGGCACTAGTCAAGAAGTACAATTTTACAATTAATGACTATTAAATGACATTAGGTGAATATATCCATAAATTTATATACTTCATAAATGTTGTGTCGCAATATAAGGGAGCTGGGCAATTCAGTACGTTAGACACTCTTTTTCTCCTAGACCAGGGTTTAAGTCTGGCAATGAATGATAATTATTTACACTGTTACATCAGCTGTAGATCAGACCTGGTGACAAAAGTAACCCCTGGGGGCACACCCAGCCTCTATAAAGTGGGTTTCCTTAATTGGGAAACATGTAAAACTTGACGATTTAACATATTCATGCACAAATCACCTCCTTACATAACCATTGGCTAGAAGTAGTACATTACAAAGTATTGATTCCAAAATCCTTCATGGATTATAGTAGTATAGTTGTATCATAATATTAATACTGATTAATAAATCTATATTTTTAAATTGAATCTCTGTAGGAAAAATCACTTATAAGTTGTAACATTCTAACTTCCATGTACTTTCTAAGACATATGGTCATCACAAAAAAAACAAAGAAAAAACTGAATTTGATCTGTATATTTTAATTACAAGTAGTATTGCACTGAACTTGTCAAAATTAAAAAAAATTCTCAAAGACCAAAATCGTCCAATAAAAAGCTTAATTAATGTTTAAACAAGTGACAGATATACCGCTTCATTCGAGATCATAAACAATAAAATACACAAATCAACCTCGATTTTATTATTGAAGAATACATAAATAATGATGGCAAAACCATAATAAATCTAATATTTCATAGGAGGATTGTTTTCAACTTATAATACAATATAATCATGAAATGAATAAAAACACGAATTTAAAGAAAAATGTTACCTTAATAAAATAAAAAATAGTGAAGAAATACAGACCTGGTCAGCATACATGTTTCTAGTTTGGGAAGCATTGTTCCTCATTAGAATAAAGATATCTGTGAGACTTCTAGTTGTCATTTTGTCGAGTTTTTTTAATAAAAAAATTTAATGAGTATGGACTTTTTTACAGACGAAAACACCCGAAACAAATGCAACAGAACTATACATGTTTTCATTGATAGCCGAACATTACCTTCCTTTGGTGTAGCAGGTTATCAATAGAACATTTAAAAATCTTTGAACTAAAAATATTATATATGTTAATACATGCATATGTATTAACTAATTACTATATTAATAATAGTTTTCAATTTCTGTGATTTTTCTTACATAAATATAAGTAATACATAGTCGACAGATTGATATCCTGTCAGATTGTATTTCAGTGAGATAATCATTTTGACATAATCATGTACTTAATTAAAATCAATTATTTCTCTTTTAGTATATAGAGGAGGTGGTTTTAAAACAACTATGTATATGGACCATTCAAAGGGCTAAATCATAGATAAGTGAGAATTATACAGCCTTATATTAGGTTGTTACAAAAGCTTCTTGGTGCATTAGTTCATTGCTGACATAAAACTCTTCATTTTAATCCTTATTCGAATACGACAATAAAGAAAATCATGTTTCGTATCATTATTTACTTTGTCGCCCAAAGTACCCAGAAGAACTAGCGGATCCAGCCGGGGGGCGCTCCTCCTCCTGGATGGTGGACGACAAATTCCGAAAAAGTCCCAAAAAGCAGCTATCGCTAAAGTTAATAATTTGTTTAAGTAATGTGGTTGATAACCACGGTCGATGAACGCTAATTTTGACCAACTTTGTCAAAATCTGAGACAGATTACTAAAAATGGCCCTGCAACTTGGAAATGATTTCTCTAAGAAAAAAAAAATGAGATTTCGATCATAATCAGTTCGGGGACCAAATAACTAATACCCTCCTTAATGAAAAAGTTTCCAACCTACTTTATTTTACTTTAAGTTTATTCTACCAACATATTTTTAGAGTATACCTTTCACCTACATATTATTATTTTATTTTTAATGTTAATAGTTTGTTAAACCCATTGTTATCTGTTTTTTTCTTAGCCCTGATGAATGCCTGAACTTTAGGCCAAAACGTCGACAAAAAAATAAAAATAAACCTAAGTTATTTATTTTTAAATTTGATTTTGACTGAACACCCCAACCAATCGACTCTTAAATTAATTAAAAGTATTATACATGCAGTATAATTAATACATTAATTATACTACAGCATTCTAAGAAAGATATATAATTTCTGCGAGGATGTGCCCGAAAAAGATGCCAGAATTCAGCTTGTTTCCATATTCATGAAGACATGAAGCATAGATTAGAGTTATAATTTGTTCTAAATGAATTACACATGATTCTAATGTGTTGTTTAAGTAGTTATGAATAAAATTAATTTCTTGGATTGTCTTTTTAGCAAAATCTACTTTTCCTAAAACGAAAAGGGCATTTACATAATTTTTTTTTTAAAATCAAATATTTGTAAAACCTTTACTTGAAAAGTTGCTAGGGAAAATGTTCTCCCTCCCGCGCTATTGAATATCCCCAAAACTGATTTATTTTCGCGCTTTTTTCGGTTATTATTCCCATTTAATGCATGAAGCAGCACATTTTCGACAAAAACTATTCCATATATTTTGGTTTATTATTTGCAATGATGAACCATTGTAATCGAACAAAAAATTCAAAAACTTAACCTCCTCTCAAAATTCGAGGTTTTACGTTTCAGGATGCATAGAATTCGAAAAACGAATACATTTTTTTTTTTTGGCCGTCCGCGCATTTTCTCCTAAACTACTGCACCGATTTTTTTAAAATTAGAGGTCACCCGAGGATGATCCTCCTTCATCGACATTTCTATCCGCCTTTTCCTTTCAAGATGGAGAACGAAAAACCTGCGTTACTATAGACTGTAGCGCCTAACCGAATGTACCGGTTTCAATGAAACTTCGCTAAAGTCTTCTTCTCGATGCCCTTTAAATTTATTTATATAACATACTTAAACGAAAAGGAGCTGGAAAAAAAGTTACGAGGGATGGTAAAATTAGATTTCGAATAAATCAAAAAGTTTACACTTTTTCGTCGTTATTGTTGTTAGTTAAAAGTTTACGGAATTTCCTAAAAAAAAAAAAAAAAAAAAAAAAATCGTTAAAATCGGATAATTAGGAACAATGATATGGTCTCTAGATGATTTTTATATGTTCTACTGCAAAGGTTATATATATCCTTTGTTTTAGTTTTTGATTTTTGACTGTGTTACTGAAGTAATGGTAATTGTTTTAGGAAATTACTAATTATTAAAATTAAAATTTTAGTCCAACAATTGGAATCACCTTTTATTTCTTTTTCTTTGTCACTATGAAGGCAATGGTACTTTAGATGTATAATTGTTTGGAAATAATAAACCATTGTGAAATAATTTGCTGCGTTTTTAGAAGGGTTCTAATAAATGCCATAGTTATGGTGCTACTCTCTTCATATGTCTATTACTTATTTCATCCACCAATAATGTTTCCATCAGTTCCTTGTTATATATTCAAAGATTTTGGATCCCAACAGTGAACGTAGAATATATTTTTTCTAGCGGTTTGTCTCCGTCACTTTTGTATATTTTATATCTTTTGCTATGATTTGTCCCAATATCTAACAGTGGTCTCTGAAATTAAATTCCTGAGTCGAAGGCAGTTTTGAAATGTGTGCTAAGCCCCCTTTTTTGCAGCCTGCTAGTTTGTTTGGAAGAAGATCGAACGCAATAAATGTCTCAGGTCATTCTGACTCACTTATTTTATAAATTAGCTTATAATATTAGATTCACATAAATCAGCATAGGGTTTCTATCTCTTATTACTTAGAGCCATTTCTATATCAATGTATCCTACTCCTTCAAAATAATAAATTAAGTAAATGTTTACTTCACCAACTCTTATAAGGCAGGTTATAGAAGACATAAACATGACAATTAGTTTAACTTTTTCAAGTTTCGAAAATTTCATTCACCTCATTTACAATTTTCGTATGCACTTAATGTAAATGTTTCTTAAATAATTGTTTTATTTTAATATCAGTCTTCTGATTGTATAAAGTGATCTTCCCCTCTCCCTCCAAACCTCCCCCCTCCACCATCCCTTCCTAACGTTTCCTTCACAATGTTAAAATGCATAAAAATTTACTTTACTGAATCATTGAAGACAGGTTATCGGAGATATAAGCACAATTGCATATGATCAAACATGAAAAATAGCTTAAAATTTTCAAGTTCGATAAATTTCCAAAACTTTGAAAACCTGCATCACAAAAATTATTAAACTTACCGAACCTGTTTTGGTCTTAAGTTGAAGCATGTTAATTCTAGTTTAAAAATTTACATATTATTTTTTGTCGAAAGCCTACTCCTTCGTGGTCAAAATGAGGAAAAACTGAAAAAAGTGTGAAACTATAGCATTTTTTGAGATTTTAATACGTGATCCGGGGGAGGGGAGGTTAAACCATTCGACGACATACATTTATTTCATGCCATTAATTGTCAAATATCAGTGATAAATGATAATGTATTTATATATTAATCAGGCACTTTATATTGTCAGATTCAGCTTTCTGTTGTCTCAACAGAAACACAAAGCTTATTTTAATAAAGAATTTAATATACTTTTATTTTTAATTCTTTATTGTTTTCTTAAAAGTGTATACTGGTCTATCAGTGCAAACAGCTTTAAGTGTCTTTTCATAGTGTTAATTGTTTTGTATATAGTTTCGTTTGTTTTGTATATAGAATGTTTACCTTATATTTTCTTTACATTAATTCTTTTTTTCGGTTGGTTTTATTTAGATGTAATCTTTTAATTTTGTTCTATTTTGTTATTCTCAAGGGACTGTTCCAGAATAAAGTTATTTTCTATCTATCTAGCTAAATCTTCAACCCCATTCGATACAACTTAGACCACCTTTTTTATGACAAGGTTACTGGGTTAATGGAATAAAATATTTTATTCTCCTATTGCGTCACCTTCATTTGTTATTAGATATTTAGTAATCATATTAGTGGGGGAAACGTATCATTAGCATGGGGCATTCAAGAAAAAGTTTGTCATTAGAAAATTGTAAAAAAATTATATTTTATATTATTGGGTCATGTTTTTAATTATCAGTTGAATATATTTTAAACTGACAATCACTATTTATAATTAAAATTCAATGAGTCGGTGTGTATTTATGGTAAACCATTAATCGTACCTACAAAATAGAGTTAGTGAATTTTTCTCAACTTACCATGCAAAGGTGATGGGATGGGCCTCATTCTTGTCAAGTACATAAATAAGATTCGGGACTCAACTCGAGCGATACCGAATTCGCCACTGGCTGTACCTGATACTTTAAACTTAAACTTTTTGCCCATTTAACGAAAATCGGCTACATCATTGTACTGCCCTATTATGTAATAATACCTATTATTACAACAACAAAAAAAAAGATTAAAAAAAAAGTGATGCATTATTGTTAAAAACTAATTTGAGATTATTTTAGGTTTATGTGAAATTAATTGAGCTATATTCTATACTTACGACTTTTAAAGCATGAAAGTAAATTTTATTTTAAGAATATTGGACCCCCATACCGGACTGAAACGACTAGAAACCGCCCGACGTTTTCGACTACTGCAGAACTTATAGACAAACGCTCTAAACTTCCAACTATTTACTAAAGTCTCAGATATATTACTATAATAAGGCCTATTTGGACTTATTGGATCGAGCTTTGGGGCTCTACTAAACCATCAAATTCCTCTCGTATCCAATCCTTACAATCCAAAATCCTTCGTAAAATCCTCAATGCTCCTTACATTGTCACAAATAAAATCATTCATCACGACCTTAATGTACCATATGTTTCCGGTTTAGCTCAATCCAGATACCTATCCTTCCATAATAAACTTCTGAATCATCCGAACCCTCTTGTTTCCAACCTAACTTCCTTTTCTATTCCTGATAACCCTCCGAGGCGTCTGAAAAGAAGATGGCCTCGGGACCTTCTAATATCGAAATATAATTGGAGTGATACCAATCGGTAGTTTCTCTTCATGTTGTACATCTCATGTTACTTGTTGTATTTATCATTTAAGACAGTTGCAAATTTCAATAATAGTAAAAATTAAAAAAATATTGGAAACGTTAAATTTAAAAATATAATTTATAGATTGCTACCATTGG